GACCAATGAAAAATTAAAACCTGAACATGCGGCTTTACAAAGAAAGTATTATGAGTTATCATCTAAGTACGCACAGCGTGTACTGCGAATGGAAAATATACTTGCCAATAACACAAATTTAAATTTATATAGGTCTATACAGTTCTATACAGCTCTCCAAAATTATGCAACATTTAAACTTTTCTTTGACTTTCTGCCATCAGAATGTATAATTTCTTAACTTATTCCGGTTTGATTACCAATGTAGAATACTCGGCAGAATCAAAAGTTGAAAAAAAGCAAAATGTCGCTTACGTTGTGGTCATATGGGGGTTGACTTTGCTTATCGTTTGGCATTTCAGAAGCACGTGTTTCCCGTATATGGGCTACTAGGTTAGAGTTTCTCTATTATGAGTCAGGGGCCCTACCCATATGGGCATCATTCACATGATTATATACAACAGACTGTGCTGGTGTTGCCACAGCCATTCAAAAAATGCCATGTTTATCATTTAGAAGTCAATCTGCATTTTTAAAAATAGGTACTTCACCTCACCTATCCCAAATGATGTTGGCTCCGAATAAAATTTTATATAAGTACAAGCAGTCTGCATTCCATCAAGCCATGGAGCTTCTGTGTTAGCAAGTATATAGTCTCCACACTGAACACATGCATGCAGTCATTGCATATGCAGTCATTATCCGTTCATCAAAGTATTTTTGCTCCAAATGTTTTTCAATGGCAGTCTGCTCATTACTGTTGCCCCACTTGACATGCTTCTGGGGGCTTTGTGACATTGCTCGCTGGAAAAAGGATATTGCTAAGAAGTGATGTGAGGAAAACATTTTCTCTTCTTTTTAAGTCATTGCTGTACTGAAATGTGAAGCAATTAGACAACCTCGTCGTTCATTAAACCAAAGTTTGCTCTGCCGACTAACCTCTTGTATTTCATTCAATGTCAAGCATTTGTTCCTTGATTGTGAAGAGTGTTTTGAGTATATGGTGTATATACTCCGGAAAGAAAAATGTTTGCGCACTGCGGCAGCAAAGGCATGAACAGTAATTTGTTCCATTATAGATGTTCGAATTTCGGTATTGTACATTTGATTTGCAAATTTGGTTGCATTGTTGAATGCCTTAATTATTTGAAAGCAATTCCTCAACAAATTCTTGATATTGGAATGGTTCACAATTATTGTATACTAAGGCTCTGCAAATCATCACAAGTGCCAACAACTTTCGAACCGGTCCTCAAGTTTTCGGCAGTTTTCAACATTTACATGTTTAGCAAAAGCAGGTGCTGAGTTTTTGTAGTCTGCTGCGCAATGTTTTTTCTGTCTTGAAAGTTGCCTTGCTTGTTTTTACTTGGTCGAAAAGCACTGCAGTATCAAGTTCCTCATTAGTTGTATACATGTTAAATTATTTGGGACTTCAGTTTAATGATTCAAGTTGGATATAGTCCAAAATTTGAAATAGCAGGGAAGCTACATGTCTACAGCACACTACTGTACATGTACAAGTGAAACTTGCACAAGATATTTCACCGGTGTCCTAGGTGAACATAGACTCCATAGTGCGCCTTTCTCATGGAGGCATGGAGGCAGGTTTGCCTTTCAAAACATTAGCCTTGACTACAACCTGGGTAACCACTTTATCTTTGAACTGTTGATAGCCATACTCTTTATGCTTGTGAGCATTTGGTGGCTTTCCAAGTTTACTTGAATAGTCAGTTATCAAATGTTACTTCAATATTGATAATGCATTGGTAAATACCACTGAGGTTTCTTGTCCATTGTATTCCTTCTACCATATTTATAAACAGCAAACCAACGGCTCGAAAGTTTCCAAAATATACTCGGAACAAGCAAGGTAGGTTTATATTTGACTCGCATAAATATGTTGTAGTCAAAAACTCCAATAAGACACTTGAAAAGCAGTCAATAGTACTTAAAATTACTTTTTAAATCTTTGAAAACCTTTGAAATGTAAAGCTCAGTTTTCAAACAGCGACTGTTTTTATTTTATGCGCAAAACAACCTCAACGTTTTGGTTTGTAAAACGAAAGTTTGATCAAACATCTGTTGTTTTGGGACGGTCAAGCATGCAAACATTTTTGTCTCTCGAGTCGCTAGAATTATACCGATCGTTGAAATTTTTTGGCAAGTTACAATGTGTTCCTTACATCGAAAATAATTTAATCAGTGCTCTCCTTTATGTTGTGAAATATTCAAAGCTTTGTTCCCGACTACTACGAATCGAACTTCTTCCCCGCTTCAGTGACTTTGTACGCCATGTTGAATATTTCAACCACACTCGCTCGTAGAAACCCAAGACGCAGCAGCAATACGAAACAAGTCGTACAGATTTAGTCAAAACTTCAATCAAAGCGAAAATGATAAAAGTTTCTTGCAATTCTCATGTGTTTAGGACCTTTCCTCGTTCAAATAGTATAAGCGCCATGTTGAGAAATTCTGCTGTGTAGCTAAGCTACCGTGATGCTTTGCGCATTCCGAAATTAGCTCATTGCAAAGACGAGATCTTTGAGAAAATATAAACCTTTTCGGGCTCGAAATGGCGAACAGCTTTATATATAGTATGCACAAAACCTGCCTGACGTCACAGATCGTAAAGATCCTAATGGCTAGAAAAAATAAACAAATTTTTTGCGGGACATCAAAAATTCTCGCCGCCAGGAGGGATTTTCTTGAAAATTTCCAAAAGCAACAAGTCACGAATAAATTAGGAAATTTATCCAAAGAGGAAAGAAAATTGTATACCTTGTTGCGCGAAATAAGAAAAGTTTTGAAAGAAGGCAAGAAACAGCTTTGACAAGTAAAAAGTATTTGTTTTTTACTTTATCTCATATAAAATAATGTAAACGAATAAATATTGTTCTGAAGTCGATCAACAAAAGTTTGTAGAAAAATACGAAATGCCGACCATGTTTTTATACCGATATACTATGTGTTACATGAAGTGTAACAGGTGAGCTATAAGCCTGTAGTATAGTTTTGAAAACACAATATTCACTTTGAAACCACAATATTCACATGGATTTTATGCGGAATATTTTATAATAAATTCGCACATTTGTCGTATCAAAGACGTTCATTTACTCAACAAAATAACATGGTTCCTACATATTTGGTGTTTACTCAAAGAGAAGAAGATGTTATGCCTTGAAGGTACAAAGAATATGTGTATTTGTATATATATAAATATTATAAATAAGCATTTTATATTATATAAGTATTTAATAGCATACTTTATATAATATAATATAATATAATATAATATAATATATATTATATTATACTATTTCTTACTATTTTATATAATATATTATGGATATTTACTTTCCAAATCACGTGTACTAATCCATCTTTATATGTTCTCTAATTATATTATGTTATATTTGTCCCCGGAAGTGATTCAGACAAAAAAATACTGTCCAACCCACATTTTCCCAATTTTTGCCCCGACACCTTGTTTGACAAAAGTCGTCAAACGTCTGGATAATGATTTCGCAGTCATGACGGCAGAAGAAAAATATTAAAAGTCATGAAAGCTCAGGCAAATGGGATAATTTGTTCAGGAATGACGGATAAATATTTAATGGGGTGCGCTCATTGTGCGCACCCCCGGTACAAAGAGGGTTAATATGCTTATCTGTCACCACTAGTACTTCTTTAAAAATGACAAAAATCTTTCCTTTAGCTTTAATAATAATACACTCAAATCTAATTTTTTTTGACAAAATTACACCAAAATGTTAACTTTTAGTCTAGAATATTATGAGATTTTACATTTGTGGACATTTTTCTTGCATGAGATGTATTTGTCCATTTTTTTAAGTAAATAGAATATCACACTTTGACCTGGAACGTGTTATACTTCTTGTTTATCTGCAATGAAGAATAAAAAGGCATTGAATACATACAACGACAAAGAATAATGTTTTGAATGAGCTCTCTCTTTAGCGTATTCTACCATAGCGATGGAAATCGCTGTACATAAATTTTGCATAGATGTACTTTTTGGTTGAAAATTTATGCTGCTGATAATTTGTGGAACTCGATGGTTTACTCTATAAATAGTAAACAATATCATATGGGATAACAATAATTACATAATTTACATTAATTTGCTCTCAAGTTGTAATTTGTGTTGTGTTATGTTATGTTTACGTTAAGTTCAAGGATCCACTTTAAGTAACGGTCCAACGAAATCTCAGCTCCAGCAAACGTTAGCCTTTTGTATCAATAATGTTAAGCATGGGATCCGGATAACATGTAAAGGAAACCTTGAATTTGAAATCCGGATTCCAAAGCACTGAAACTTATAGAAGCCAGAATCCTTGGGTTGATATCCAAAATCTGACAAGTTTGAATTTATTTTCTGCACGGTTTAGGAAAGAGGTGTTTTACCTCATGCAAGATTGCTTCGGTGTTCTTCCATTCTCTCTGAATATCCATTTTAGGGAATTTGAACGGAACATTCCACACTTGCTCTCCCAATGTCATGAAAAAATTCTTCCAGGTTTCTACGTGCTTATCCAAATCTTTGAATATCATCTCGGAATTTTTCACAAGAGCGTCATTTTCAGGTGCTTTGGCGGAGGTTTTTGATTTTTTGATCTTTCGCTTCTCACCTTTCTAATAGCGGTACAAAATAAGGCAGTTTAATCGACTTCATTCTATACATTTTAAAAGCCTAAGTTTCTCGTTTCCTTGTTCGCTCTCTCGCATTTGATCCTATACATTGAATGGGGATAGCATTTGATCCTATACATTGGATGGGGATACGGGAGGACAGATATTTGTTTCTGAAAAGTAGAAAGGTAAAGTAAGTAAACACGTAAATTCTTTTCATTTATGTAACTAAAGTCAGATAAACTTCCTGCAGGAAATAAGCTGTGTTTTAGAACCCTAACATAAGACAAATATATAATAAAAATAAATAAATAATGAAAAAATAATAATTCGAATAATAGATAAATTGTTTGCAAAATTTTCCAATTTCTGCTTTTGGAGGTAACCTTTTGAGTATTTCACCTCATACCTGCGGAGACATGATCAATATCGATGCTAAATATTTTATAATGCTTTTGTATACCATAAACCAATTAGAAAAAAGGTTGTTACGCTTTTCTTCTCCCGAAATTAATTTCGACCAAGGCAATCACTGCCGCCTTACAGAATACTTTAAGACTAACAGTTTTGTAAAGTATAAATATAATACCACGTATTCTCTTTGAGGTGACATGACATGAAAATTTTTATTGGTGGAAATTATTCCTGCATGACTTTTATCGAATGTCATTTACAATTTTTTAATACTCCATTTTGTTTCTTGAATTTTAACATTTTGAGATTTGAAATGATGACGTCATTATGTATTATGACGTCATTGAGATTTGAAATGATAACGTCACAACCCTATCAGTTAGCGTATTTTTTAGATATTTTCTCTGGTCAGTAATAGGGTGTCAGAAATTCTGACAACCTTATCAGTCAGCATATTTTTTAGATATTCTCACTTGCCAGTAATAAGGGTGTCAGAAATTTTGACAACCCTATCAATCAGCATGTTTGTTAGATATTCTCTCCGGCCAGCAATAGGGGTGTTCACATTTCTGAAAACCCTAGCAGTTAACATATTCTAAAACTTTCACCCTTTGCTTTAAATTACTGTCTCTGTTGAAAGATGGTTTATCAGCCTGGTAATGCATAAAATATAAAGAATGCAAAATTGTGGTTGCTAATTTTCGAATCGGTCAGTAGTGTTAATTATTTTTGTGTGTGTGGGTAGGTGTTATGTACTCAGGTGAATATGATGTTTGTGATGTTACTCTGAGTATGCATTCCACACCGGGCAAGCTGAAATGTTTGCTTGGCCACGTTGGAAATCGAACCCGCGACCTTTTGGGCTAGTATCCCAAAGGCCGCTGGTTCGATTCCAGCCGTAGCCAAGCAAACATTTCAGCTTGCCCGGTGTGCATGGATGCATACTCAGTGTTAATTATTTTTGATGAACGTGCATGATATTCATGATGATAATATACCTGCAATGGTAAATGTCATACCTTCTCGGAATCCTGGAATATGACCTTGTTCAGCCTCGCATTCGAGAAAAGTAACTTTTCAGGTTCAGTCACTTGGTTTCGGAATGTTTTCAGGTTCTCACCGTACCCCTGAAAAGAAAAAAGCCAACTGTTGTAACTGATCAGGAATCGTCGTAAGCGGAAAAAAAAGTAATTTACTCACGTGATACACTTTAATACACCACTTCTCACAACTAACTATACCTACTACAGTGTTTTTGTTATTCGCTATCTCACTACTACACACGTACAGGTCTACAAATTAAATCTGTTCAGAAGCTGTCAACAAGTTGTCTTCGCATCACTTGTTCCCAGTTGTTGTAACAAGTTTGGAACAAGCTCTTAACAGCTTGTAACAAGCTTCTTCGCACCATCAGACTTGTGACAAGGTTGTTCTAACAAGTCTGATACAGTCATGACATAACAAGAACGTTGCAAGGTTGACGACACAAGGTTGTAACAATATTGTTTCATCATGACTGCATCAAACTTGTTGGAACATACTTATAACAAAACTGATGATATCAACAAGGTTCTTACAAGTTTTCAACAACTTCTTCCACACTTCTTGACAACTTGGGACAAGCAGTGCGAAGACTACTTGTTGACGACTGGTACAAGATGTAAGATTTCTTGCGTGTGCACTTTGAAGATCACGACAAACTTTGGACTAATGGTTGGAAGCAAACTTTTTAAGAAGCCAATTTGTGAAGGAAATAAGAAATCAAATTAAAAGAAAATTCGCAAGATAAGACACCGGTTATGGTATAGAATTGTTTTCTGGAACTTTGTCGACAATTTAACGCTCGTTAATATACGTCAAGACTCAATGTCCATGCACTGTATCCAGATGTAAAAGATTTTTGCTGTCGGCTACCTTTTTGATATAGTCGTCAATGCCATCAAGGTAACTCCACTGTTTGGCCCAGTGAGGAAGAGGTGCCATGCCATTTATTTTCATATCCATCCATTTAGCGGCAATTTCTTTGGAATAGTCCTCCCAATTTTCTTGACCAGCGAGGCCAAGCACTTCTATGTACAGCGTTCGTTTATCTGAAATAAAAGGTATATAGTATTCTACTTCAAATTAATGCATCCTAAGGAACCGCTCATTATTTATTGTACAGGGGGGTGGGTTGAGGAAAAACTGAGGGGGGGGGGCTTTAAGTTTTTTAAAACCTGAAAGAGGGGCTTTGAAAAAATATAGAGAGACGAAAGGAGGAAGGCTTTAAAAAGATTTAGTAGTTTGAAAAAAAACATGAGTTGTTTTAAACCTGTATCACAAAACAATAAAAACATGAGTTGTTTTAAACCTGTATCACAAATAACAAAGTTTATAGACCTTTAATATTAATATAAATGGAAGCCAAATAAATAGTCTCTTATGTTCATGACTAGACTAATTTTGAAACTAGGCAAAGCGATGCAAATAAATAATTACAGCTGAAAAGAGCATACAAACATGAGTAAAATTGCAAAGTTTAGTTCCGAAATTATGTAAAATACAGAAAATATAGCCATGCGAAGTTTGCAAATTTTGTATACTTTTGTATTGCATGCGAAAATTGTTACCGGCATCACGCAATACAAAAGTATACAAAATTTGCAAACTTTGGAAGGCTATGTTTTCTACATTTTACAACATTTCGCAACCAAACTTTGCAATTTTACTAATTTTAAAATGCTCTTCCCGGAAATACACTTTTTTGCTAAGATAAAAATTTAGTCTATAATGGGTATCGTCTATTGTTTCCCATTATCTATTTTTGTTTCTCTAAATAAAGAGCTAGAATCAGGAGGAGGGAGCACCAAATAAAATTTATGTTCTTGTTTTGCCAATTGGACGGGGGGAATTTGAAAATTTTACTTGTCTTAGGAGGGGGGCATTGAAAAATATTGTAACTGCAGAGTTTCTCCTCAGTCTCCCTTTGTACAATAATAATGAGCAGTCCCTAATTCGCTTTAAACGTTAGACCATACAGTCAGATATAGAGTGAAAGTGGAAGGAGGAGAAAAAATTGATGTAGAAAAGTCTACTCAAATCTTCTCGAATTTTGTGCTATCAAAGAAATTGCAATGAATGCTGATTTAGATTTTGTCATATCTAGTGCAGCAGTGATAAGTCAGCATTATTTGGTATGACAAATTTAATAATGACGAACGTGCTTTTTAAGACAAAACGTACATCTTAGAACACTTTGGGTAGTTTATTTTAATGTCCGCTTCTTTTACGTTTCAAATATACTTGCTAAACTTGATCACCATTCAGTTAAAAATTAGTAAAATTATCTATAGTTTAGCTGCGTTAAGTAGTCTTTATATAATCTATCATACACAAGGTGCATAAACACGGAGTCGGACTTCAACAGCCTTCGGAAATTTGAGTTGAACGTTTAATTCTTTTACATACGAAACAAAGATTATCAAACACTATATATATATATATATATATATATATATATATATATATATATATATATATATATATATATATATATATATATATATATATATATAGCTTAAGATTTTGGTTTACGAAACACAAACAGTGCTCAATACCATATAGATAGAGCGTAATATAGTTTTTCGTTTTACCTCAAAAAACCACAACAGTGTGTTTCATCCGTTTCGCCTACACGCATTCCGCACATTCTTTCGATAGCATAAAAGCAACCTACAATTTCGAAATTATTCACCACATGATGATTCCTATACGGATGACACAGACTGTTGTGGTTTTTTGAGGTAAAACGAAAAACTATATATATATATTTTTTTTATTTTTCTACATTATAAGTACCCAAAGAAGCTATATTCATCAAAAACTGGATACTAATAGCCGTTTTGCGAAGTTGAGACCAATTTCATATCTATTCAGTTTTTTTTTTATACACCCTGTATATACAGCTAATTGCATTAAGGTTGTCCTCCGACAAAGCTAAAAGGTAAAACACAGGCGCGAAAAGTGCGATGGGAGTGACTAGTTTAAATTAATTAACTGCGTTTAATAAATACATATTTTCTCTAATTTAACCGGCATGACTAAAGTTTATGGAGTTCAGGCTGCAAAAGGTACCTCTCTTGTGACATAAGATCGCGTATATCATATCTTATAATTATGTCATCATTCCGTGTCTGATATATAGATCATCAATCGTGATCGAAGTAAGACACTGTATTTGAGTAATTTCTGTTTACAAGCAAATTTTCCTCACCTGTTGCATTTTCCTTGTGTACGGCATGCGCCGGACAGATTAGACAGTTGCTGTATGCCATCCATCTCATTTCCATGGCAACACTCAGAGGAAATTTCTGGTCGTTGTAGTAGTTTTGAGTTATGACAATGGCGGCTTGCATGGCGTCGTTTTGACGAGAAAATGTGTCTGGATGAGCATTAAAAGCAAACTCCATGTCCAGAACGGGCATAACTTCAATAAAACTCTGGTAATGAATGGCTTTGTTCATGGGCTCAAATCGTGTTGTTGTATTGAACGTCTGCACCATTTCGAATCGCGCCTTCAGAAAGGATGGTATTAGGAATTGTTTTTTTAGGAATTGTTTTTAGATGCGGGGCAACGCTTCTTCCAAATGCGGTGGAGATTAAATCCTGCACTTCCTTTATATCATACTCTACTTGGTTCGGGGTAGGTTTATTCGGGATGTCCGAAATATTTATCTTCCTAACCCACAGATTGTCGTGTTTTAGTTCTGAAAAAAATCTTTCATTTAAATAGATTGTATACTGCGCGCTAAATGCGACGAGTGTCGAAGTTATTAAAAGCAGTCTTCGACAAAGCAATGCTAGTTTCAAGTTATAACGCAATCGATATTCTGATACTATAAAACACTGATACAGGGGTGGCGTCATGGAGGTGCTAGAAGGGCTACAGTCCCCTGTCGGTGGTGTCTAGCCTTCCCCCGTCGGGGAATTTTGTGTTTCGTTTGGGAATAAACTCCGTTTAATCAAACCTTTTTACCCAAGACCAAAGATTTCCTTGGTGGAGCATATCCCCGAACCCTGCAGCCTTTCTTGGGAAAAATAAATAATTTATTGCGTGTAAAACTTAGCGCCTTTGTTGGAGGCGTTAGTCCCTGTCGGGGAATTTCTAGCGCCCCCCACCGCCGACCCTGCATTGATAGCGCCTTGGTCGTAATCAGCCTTCCTTACGAATGTTATATAACGTCGAAGCCAGAAATTCCACACTCTATAAACCATACTACGTTTAGCGGTGATTGCTGGCTTTACGTTCCTGTCACCCAGTAGTGCTTTGCGGCTTAAATCGTATTTGGCGTCTAAATTTTAAATACAAAAACACTAGAACAAAGGAAAAGAAGAAGGTCGAGAAGTACACGCAAGAAATTTTAAGATGGAATGTGTTCTTGCAATATTTCTCACTTTGTACTATTTAACTTCATTGCTTTTGCGCTAGTTGTTCTTTAAACTAGACCCCAGTTGTTTTAGAAAGCTCACCTGGACATTTCAAGACGAACAAGGCGATCAACTGCAACCAGCTCAAACTGTTAAAAGGAAACCAAAAGATTTCGAGAGACCAGTTATTTTCATGAAGCTGTTTCAGTGCGGCAGGATTGTAAAACAGGTCTCCAACAGTATAGCTGAAATCGTTCTCCACTTTCACAATGACCATTGGTTGAACCTCCATAGTAATGCTAGTCATCACACCAAATAAACCCATATTGCACTGAAAAGAAATTTATATCCTTACTGTGGAAGTGTGTTCTAATTATTCGTAAATAATCTTTTATCACAGCGTGCCAGCATGCCTTCTCAGGAACTCGAGGCATCTTTCTCAAGTTACTACAAATATTGCGACAAAAATCTTCAAAATGCTACTATATAAATAGCGGATTTGATGGGAAAAAATGGTCTGGTTCAGGACATACAAGCCTAATTTATTTTGGGGCGATACTACTTGGGTATTTAGGAAAAAAACATGAAATTTAGGATTCCTTATTACCTTTAAGGCATTATCGTTGTCTTGATCACTTGATGGAAATGTGTAATCGACTTCAACTCCATTCGCTCCCACAATACTCATTCCTTTCACGTAATCTGACACAGCCAACTGATCTTTGCCCACGCCCTGAAATCAACGAAACGTTCAAGCACTTACTCAGGAGGTTTCTCTCAGTGAACGTTTATAAACACATTTTGTTAATATTTTGGGTCCGGGGAAATATTTAAAGCGCGCTTGTTCACTTCTAGAGAGATGTTTCTATCGTTTTTGTATCTGCGAATGCAGATATATTGCTATCGCGCGCGTACCGGAAGTTTGTAAGCGTGCTCGTAGCCAATCAGCGACAGCGTATAGATGCAAATCACGTAATTATAATAATTTCAAGATGGCGGTTTACTGAAGGGTGAAATTATAAATTACAAAATATACAATTAAAATTAAAAATAAAACGCAGTCAAAACTACGACATTGCATGTACTATTCTGAATCTGGCAAAGGGTGTCTTTGGCGAGCATTTGAAGGGTTTCTTCATTTAATACGCAGTACAAAATGAAATGATTAGCGATTTTAGACAAAAACTTGCTATTAAATTTAAATACCTATGACGACCTCACAAACTTGTAGCATTAACTTAGCATCGTGTGAAAATAAAGGCTATCTATAAATCAATGTAATTGGAGTCCGGAAACAAGGTAAATTTTTGTAAGGTAAACTTGAATAAATTAGATTCTTGCACTTCACTTGGTGGAATTGATATTAGAATGTTAGGGTTTGTAATCCAAGAAAATATATATACATTTTAAGACCTAACCAGGAACGACTGAGAAAAATGCAGCACAAGGTCCTCTGGTAGGAATTGAACCTACGGCCCTGCGATTCCAATGCAGAGATCTAATCAACTGGGCTACAGAGGCCAGCTGTTGAGCTGTAACCGTAAGTTCATGTATCTATAGGTAATTGGGTGTGCGGGTTGTGATAAGGTACGTGGACTTGAATGACTTAGATTCTTGCACTTCACTTGGTGGAATTAATATTAGAAAGTTAGGGTTTGTAATCCGAGTGAGAATTTATATACATTTTAAGACCTAACCAGGAACGACTGCGAAAAATGCAGCACAAGGTCCTCTGGTAGGAATTGAACCTACGGCCCTGCGATTCCAGTGCAGCGCTCTAACTAACTGAGCTACAGAGGCCAGAGCTGTTGAGCTGTAACCATAAGTTCATGTATATATAGGTAATTGGGTGTGCGGGTTGTGATAAGGTGGAGCTTGAATTTTTGTGATGATATAGGATCATTTCTTTGCAAACAGTAATTTAAATGAGTCGCGCTTATTACTACTCCATAGAGGATTGACGGTTAATTTAATTAAGTATGGACCCGTTCTACATTATAAACTAGAAATAGGCCAACAAATTGCCACGAAATACTAGAATGAAAATAGAATCTCTGAACTACCAATTTTACCTAACGGTCAAGTTTCTCTGCAAAGGTCGCCCCTTTTCTCAAATTTCCTCGAGTAGATCATCGTGTTTTTAAGTCAAGGATTATGTATACTTTAACATAAAAGAATAAAAAAAGTGGGGATAAAGGGTAGATTTTAATTTGAACAAAATACGAATATCTGTATACAAGATCTGAGCGTTATAATGAAGCACTCGATACTTTCTCCAACGACATATTGCGCTTATTTTTTTACAAAATTAAAAATTTTCACACATTAGAGATATGAAAATGTAGCTTGCATTACAAAAAAATGTTGGCTTGCTTTAGTTATACCTTACACGTCGATAAAAGTCAAGTAAAGACCTTTCAAAGACGCGTGCCACATTAAACTACAGGTCACATGGCGGTAGAGAAAAGACGAAGTATTCATGATATTTCATAGCCAGTTCAAACGTCACGGTGCACTATTCCTGTGAATTATGACGCCCAACACGTCGGGTAACACAATTTACCACTTTTTTCGGCTGTCCCAAGTACACTTTTAAGATACAAGGTCCGATCATATCATGTTCTTCGAAGCATCTGCTCAAAACAGTACAACATAAATATCGCCACTCATTTTCTTCGTATAAAGATGTAAGTTTTCCCTTCAATTGCTTTGCTTTAAAAACAGTTATTAGGTTGTTGAAGAGTTATTATATAATGTAACTTCCAACAAAGATTACCCCAATGCTTTCAAAAACCAGTAAATCACAATGCAGAAAACTTAAACATCCTTAGAAATTGTAAGCCAAACGTCGAAAAACTAAATTTGCGGGAAGAAGCTTACGAGCCGACACTATTTTTATGCAGCGTCGACGAAAGTCCATACTGTTATCTTTTAATACATGAAAATTGAGAAAAGACGTCACGTCGGTTTGGTGGATGGAATTATGGAAACATGGCCATGGCCTTCCAGAAGACCAGGGACGAGCTCATGTCATGTGAGTAACGTGACTCGTGATATTCATCACGCCATTTTTTCTACGTCTCTTCGAAAGAATCGTACGTAATGTTATCGAATAGTAAAAACTTTTTTCTCGGTTCTGTGCCGTTGAGCGTCTCGAACATGGAAACTTATGATGATTTGGTAACAGGGATGCCGGAAGATCGATAATAGCGGGTGCAGATATTCATATATTCGCGTTCTGCCCAATTAATTTCTTTTGAAATCGATTGTTTTTACAGTACGTGAACACGAATATATGAATATCTGCACCCGCTATTATCGATCTTCCGGCTTACCAAATTGGTAAGTACAATAAACCTGAATTCTGTTAGTTTTGACTCAGTGAATGATCCTCTTAAAATGAGGGCAAATTAACATCTTTATATGAGGGCAAATAAACATCTTGATATGAGGGCAAATGAACCTCTTATGAGAGCAAATAACCTATTTTATGACTAATATGAGAGCAAATGAACCTCTATATACGAGGGAAAATAAATCTCTTAATATGAGAGCAAATGAATCTCTTGATATGAGGGCGAATGAACATCTTATGAGAGTAAAACAATCTCTTCTAAAGCAATCAAAAAAATCTGAACATATTATTCATGAACAAAATATAAAGTATACAAACTGTGAACATTTAAACCCATTGAAACCCACAATGGCTATACTATGTGTCCAAATTTTATTGATTTTAGAATTCCCTTAGTTATCCAGGGTTTGTAAAGTTGTTTCCTTAAACTTTGGGAAGCTACTTTACATGGAGCATGTTTATTTACAATTTGATTAATCGTATTTATAACACTATTTGTTATTTCGTTTAAGCATTTATCCTCATCTATTAAACCATTCCAATCAACACTATTAATATCCTCAATATATAGCTCATTGTTAAAGGTACTATAATCTCTATATAATTCTTTAGCTTTAACCCTTTTTATTTCTGTATTTACAACACAGAAAATTGGTAAGTGATCAAATATTAATCCAATGCCCGAGAGGATTTGATCAATAGGGGCATTAGTATATATATGATCAATTAATGTTTTAGTATAATTAGTTATTCTTGTCGGTTTTGTTATAATGGGTAAAAAGTGATTTGCATATAGCATGTTTATAAGTGCCTCTGCGTCTGTTGATTATCATATCACCCAATATAAATACTTGGTGTTTATTTTGATTAAATTGTCCAAGTAGTTTATCTAATTTTTCTGTAAAAGCCGCTATTTTTTAATGCGGATGTCTATAAATGCAACCAATTATATATCTTTTTTATTAGGACTTGCATCAATTTCGATCCAGCACGATTCGACTTGTTCACAATTTATCACTCTATCAGGCCTAATTATGGTTTTCAAATTATTTGCTATATAAATTCCAACTCCTCCAGCAGATGTTGGCGAGTTAACATTAGAAAAGTTATATCCCGTTATATCTACATTACACGCTGTATTATCATTGAGTCTAGTTTCTGTCACAGCAATTATGTCAGGTTTTCTTTTAAATGAAGCCAATATGTCATGCAGTAATTCTAAATTTTTCGGTAGGCTCCTAACATTAAAGTGCATTACCGCTAGTGAATTTGTCCCAGCGTTATTCAATAAACGATTTGTTTCTTCACATGTATAATAACTAGATACTACTTGATCTACAATATTGGACAAAACCCTTGAGACCATTCCAGCAAATATTACAATGTTATTGAACTTTGACAAAACAAACTTTGTCTCTTTCCCCAGTTCAATGTTGTGAACAACGCCAACACGACTTTTGGTAATATACCATGATACAAGCTCAACATTGAGTTGGGGGAGCGGGGGGTTAAGAATGGCAGCATGATTCAATATGGAGTTTATCATAAAAATACGCGAATATTCTATAGGGGGAAAATAGCTATAGTCTCAACAAGTTATGTTCAAGATTGTAGCATAAAATCTGAATCAATCTCATCAAACTTATTCGGGTTCGTCATTAACCGAATCAGATCAACAAAAGAATCCAAACAATCCGCCATTATAAAACTTCATACAACAATACTCACGTAGTTACTGCTTCATTGATTATTAACAAAATTATTAAATTCATCTAATCTAGTAAAACCATGAATTTTCGAACTATCGGATTCTCGCAATAATACCTTTCCATTTACTGTCCATAAATATTTATAGTGATGTTCTTTCTTGAAAGCATTCATGACATATATATATATATATATATATATATATATATATATATATATATATATATATATATATATATATATATATATATATATATATATATACTAGAGAGGGTGCTCTATCCTTCGTCCATCCCGATGCTTGCAACTAACATTGTTCGAAAGGGAAAGCAATTTTTTATGCCCCCTCCCTTCCCGACATAGCTCATATACTATATTGTCTTACCATATTGTATATTATGTTTTAGCACTATAATTTTTCCTTAAATTAAATAGTCTAAAACTAGAAAATGCAAGCATGCAGAAACCCTCGCCTTGCTGACAAAACCATTCTATTTTCCGAACATGAAGTATCTGAAGTAATTGTCATGGTAACACGATAATTTTAAGAATATTCTCACAAATGAAAAATCGCCTAAAAAATATCACTTTTAATTACAAAATCATTAATTTCCCAACATATATATGTTAGGTATGTTATTATTCGTAATATAAGCCTCAATTTAAGGTAAAATTCAACCACATACGCTTCGCAAAACGTTTTAAAGTCACTAGTGTTCTTTATAAAAAACTATAAAACTGCCTTTTAAAATGGCTTTATCGATAAACTTTGAGTTTGCAATAAAATGATTTCAAATTCTCGCTTGCAAATAACTCTGCCTTCTGCTTTATCTAAAAAATTCAATATCATGAAAAAGGGAATCAATATTACTAAACATGCACTGAAATTATATGCTGTCTTGTTTAGTTGTTTCATATACGCAAAGGCTGTCGGGTTTTAAATTAAAGCCATTATGAAATCAATATTTAAAACAAACTTACCTTCGTTAACGTCGGCTCACTTCTTTTAGCCGATTCTTTCGCCCTTTCTTTCTTGAAATTTACAAAATCTTGCAAAAATGCCAACAAAAATGAAATATATTTGCAAGAAATTTATCAATCATCAAATCAAGAAATGTTTGCTATTTCCCTGTCGTCATGCAGTCGTTATAATACAAACTTTAAAATGGACCAATCAGTTTTCGCTATTCATGACAGTCCGCCGCATATTTTGAAATCAGTGAGGATGACCACCCCCGAAACATCGTTGGTGAGCCACGCCCGCGATATTTGATGAACTTTAGACTTCGCTAATGCTTTCGTTTCCCCGGGTGTAAATAGCCGGGGGGAATTAGTACCATCGCACGGCGCTTCGCGCCGTCTGCTCGGGGATAAAGGTATGTTTGTTTATAGATGAAAACAGCAATCACAATGTACTGGATAATGGCAAAGGAAATAAATGATGCAGAACATGAATATATGAATATCAGCCCCCCCCCCCTCCATTTATCGACTTTCCGCCGGCCCTGGCACACGGTGTACAAAACTCAACATGCTATTCTGTTTATTCGATTTTCTTCCACGAAACAAAATATTAATCCGTCGATCTGACACGCTGAATTATATCAGTCTCAGGCCCGTAGGATGCTTTTTTCGATTGGGGCGGGTTGGGGGGGGGGGGAAGCTGAAAGCGAGGGCCGAAGGCCAGAGGAAATTTTTAAATTTCGAGTCTCTAAAATGCCATTTCCTGGACTTTGGGAGAAAATTTGACAGAATTCTGATAGTCAGAAAACAGCGTTTTAATATGTCGAAATTTACAGGAAATAATGGCCATACTGCAAAGTATTATTATTGCGCGGCGGGAACTTTTCGTCGTAAATGGCAGTTGCGTGGAAATTACGGCGGAACATTTGAGAAAATTTCGAAAATCGGGAGTCTCTAGATGGTCTGAAATGGCATTTTCAGAGTTTTCTTTTGCAAGGTCCAACACGCAAAAAACAAAATAAATCATTAGTTCATAAAAAATATGCACATTTTGCAGGATTTTCTTGAAAATGCGCGGACAGAAATTCAGCTAAAATTTTTGCGCGGGGAACGATCTGGAGTATGGGTAATATCTTCATTCTTTGCAGTTTGTCACAGATTAAATGATAAAGCTAAGGTCTGCATCATTTTGAAAAAAGAATGACTATTAACAAAGAATGACTAGTAGAAGCCCCTCGCCGGCCGCCCCCCGGTTGCTACGGCCCTGATTCTATTCAAGAACTATAGACATCGATTATACTCTAATTTCCATGCATGTCATCATTTATTACTGATGAATGGTGTTCAATATGTGACCTATTTGATAATATATTCACTTATTTGGCATACACAGTTGATTTGTGCTCAATCACCCCTTCAACCACATTTCTAAAGTTAAATAGATCAATTATAAACAGTAGAAATGTTTATGTCATGTATCAATTGGTAAAAAGACTTTCAAAACTGTGCAATTGTGTATTGGCAACATCTGGTATCATGTTTCACTCGCTACTCTGGTTTAGCTAAACGATTACAAAGCCCAGTCGAATTGTAATCAAGACCCAACGTTTCGACACTCCGGACTGGTGTCTTCATTAGGGGTTATCTAAAATTGCAATCGTGGCTTCTTAAATACCCAAAGGATGACGTCACCTGCCAATAAGATGCATATATTCCAATGGCAAATAGGCACCGTCATCCCTATTGAAAGCATGATGACTATATAAATGAGCAGAAACACGCACGCTTAGCGTACCTATTTTGACCAATAGCTACCGAGTTAAATATTAACTTCAGAGTTTAAAAAATGAGATCAAATAACATAAATTTTACTTTCTCCCAGAAAAAATTACTTTTTAAAAACATTAACTCACATGACAACCGGGTGCAATTACTCCACCATAAGTTACTTTGTCAAGGATTACATCTGTTTTAAAACACACGTTGTTTTCAGTAAAAAACTTGCTGAGTTCTCCAGTTGTCACACCTGGTGCAATGGTCACTGTCAAGGGATTAGCCGCCTACATAAAAAGATAGTTAAAGAAAACGTGTGAAAAAGAAGCAAGAATCCGAGTTACATCAAGTGAGCAGGCGAGTGTGAAAAACCAGCGATGTTATCGATTGAGTCATAAGATGAGACAAAGTTAAAAAAATGACGAAATCTTATTGTTTAATTCGATGTCGCGGCTAAATTGTTCTTTTAATAAGCAACCGAAAACCTATCAGATTTTGCTCTCTTCATTTCTGAGATACAAAGCTCTGAATATATCTAATGCACTCGTTTTGTTCTTTAAACAACAATTGCATGCATCTGCATTGCGTTTCAATGTTCTGTCATGTGAGTATGAACATGGAATTTTTTTCGAAATTAGTTGGCGTGTACTTAAGCAAGTTTGCCATCTTTGACCATTTATTTATGGCAATTATGGGTGATACACAATTTGACTTTGTTTTCGAATAGTTAAATAGAAATATTATACGATAGAGAATATCATCGCCAACGATAGAGAATATCGTCGGCGATGTTAGTGTTTGTGAGTTGATTTACTTATATAGAAGGGGCACTGGGCCTGAATGTGTATGAAGACATTGGTAATGCTAAGGATGTTTCGGTGGGTATAGAAAGCATACAAATGCTTACAGGAAATGTGTAAAAAGCGCAACTATACTTTTTATTGATAACTCAAACATTAAATCAAATTCGCTTAATAGGATAATAGAGGCCCGGGTTTCTTTTGTTTCAACAGGGACGATTTCTAACTAATCGCCCGCTGTAGCGGGTCACAACCTTTGTCTCCCGGCCGACTCACTACGCATTAGGCAAGTGCCTACGCACATAATCGTGCAAGGAACAGAAACAGTTAGCTCAGAGCCGTCAATAATCTATCATCCGATCCCTGAGTTGTTGTATCATTTACGTTACGCACGTGCTGCAGTCTTCGATTTTATACTAATATATTTAGTGTTTTCGTTGTGGTACGTTAAATTATAGATTGCGCATGCGTAACCGATTAAAGCTTAGAAAGTGCGCATGTGCAACAAGCTTTTACATCCCTCAAGCGTAGAAGCAAATGTTTTAGCTTAAGTTCGCTGATTGCCATGAGTCTTATCGCTATATAGAACCAGGGGAAGGTAATGTCTCTAATAGCACTATAGAACCAGGGGAAGGGAATAATTCTAATAGTACTATAGAAAAAGGCGAAGGGAATGACTCTAAATAGCACTATTGAGCCAGGGGAATTAAAGCTTCAGAAAACTCGGGCTCAATGTCCTCAATGCCAGATGCGGATGTTTCTAAAATAAACGGTTTAAAAATTACCAGCTTAAATATAAATAGTCTCATAAAGCATATTGATGGAATTCGTATTATGTTGATTAACCACCCTTTTGATATCCTGGCTATTAATGAAACCAAGCTTGACTCTATCATTTCAGACTCGGAAATATACATAAATGAATATACAGTTATCAGGAAGGATCGTAGTAGAAATGTGGGTGGAATCGCCTTTTTTATCAAAAATACGTTATCTTAGTCTGAAAGGAACGATTTAATTCCAGACTCAG